CCTCTATGATGTTCTACTAATTAGGAATTACCAATAATATAAGACATCAAAAACCTCTCTAACACTATCTTCTTAGATAGATAATCCATAAATAAATACCTATAAAACCAAATATCTTCATAGTCAGTAATTGAGACAAATAACTAATGACTGATAATGTGGTCATATGTGGGTGGTTTTTTTACACTTCCCAAAATACATTCAGCTTAAGGTACTTCTATAAAATCAGTAAACACTTAGTCAATTCAATAATATAGAATTGACAGAAAAACAGAATCTAGTTACCCCAACAGTATAGTGATGACAAAAACAGAGGACTCTTTCTCAGGCTTTCTTCCAATAAAATGTTTCATAACAAATCATACTCTAAGAAGAATAGTGCAAAATTATAATGATTAACCACTTTAGTACAAACAGGTAGAATCAAAGGTCAAGACTAATTAATGCTTATGTAAAACTCTTAGCTTATTATTAAACCTGATGACAAGGAACTCACCATGAGTATTAAACAGCATCAGAAATGAATGTCTTTGGATTTTGATACCAAGTCTCCTATTTAATCACTAAAGTCTATCAGACAAAGAAGACCCTAGCTCAGTATCACTACCAGGGTCATTATATACACAACACAATTATGCTACTAGTATATTAAGGTTTCTTAAGAGTTATTTTTAGTTCTATTAAGTCAAAGTTATTTTAGATTGATGAGTCATTAGATATATAGCTAAGTTATCCTGGCTTGTTGTCAGTTGTGTGACCTATCTAGCTTCTGGTGACAAACCAAGGAAAGGGGTGAGAAGGATTACATGATGTGAATTCTGTGTATAGCTACTTTATCTTTGTTATCTACTTTTTTATAAATGGTAAAATTGATACAATCCTTATATTTAGGGTTTTAAGAGTATTTTTGTAGGACAATATATGTGGGAAATATCTTTCACAGTCACCTGACATGTGTAGGATTTAATTTGAATTATTATCATGGATGACTAAGCAAAATTCATTACAGAATTAAATATTCAAAAATATTCAGTCCACCTAAGTCTAGTTTGAAAATACAAAGAAATTCCCATCTGAATCACATTCTGACTTGAGAGTAAAAGGAAGACTGATTTCCAGGATATCAGAATCATAAGAGAGTATCAGTCATTCAAACTAATTTGGTGCAGGTTAACACCCAGCTGTTAAGAATATACTCAAATAGTCAAATCTGAAGGGCTTAGCTTTAGCTTGTGCGTTGTGTTCCTTACTCAAGTATATGTTCTTAACTTCTGAGAGTTAAAGGACAAAGTCCAGAAGTCTGATGTTCAATGCACAGGAATTCCAGCAGATGTTCAGAAACAAGAGTCAAGACTAATTTGAGCAAAATTCAAACTAAAAACAAATAGCAGAAGACTATCAGAGGTAGAGGCAGAGATATTGAGTTAATAGAAATCAATCCTAAGATTATTGGAGAATGACAAGAGGAGAAACTCAAGTCAGATAGAGGCAGGAATGAGCAAAATTTAAGATGATATTTGAACTGAGGATATATAAATACTTGACAGTATTCATATACTACAGGAAACATAATACAAGATCAGTTAGTGCAATGTAAGGCTATGTATGAAGCATGTGGAAACCATATCAGTAGTGTAATAGAACATAATAAAATAAAGATGGAAATGAACAGGGTTCAGATAAATGAGTACAGTCAGATATAGACATAACTAGTATGAGTACAACAATTCAAATGGTGTATACTGAACAATATGTTAGGTCTTGCTTGCCTAAGCTGATATACTTGTGGTAACAAGTGTGTTTGATCCTAAAGAGGAAGCAAGTGCAGCAGGGATCTAGAGATTGGTACAAAGAGTGTCACTTGACAGATGATACAAAGCACAGAAAAGCATATGAATGGAGCACTTGAGGTACATGAAGCATAGGAAAAGTGCATAGGCTAGCATAAGGTGGGGAATATAAAGAATAGGCTTGTAACAGATAGAGATATGTTAGATGGTGATGGTAGACATTAATATGATGATCTTATTACCAATAGCTACTAACTATGGCTTAGAATAAATGAGCTATATACTGATAGTGTGGTACAGGGAGCTTTTATATGATTTGATGATATAAAACATAAACTACAGGCACTTATATATGTCTAAAGAAGTGGAGCCAAAACGCTATAGGTACCTAATGGTGATTCAGAACAATGTGTTGGATCTTGCAGAATCTAGCTGCTATTCAACCCTAAAGGGTTTCTAGACCAGGCTTAAGGCTCAGAGGAGAGGAACTGTCATGAAAACTATTGAAGACTCAGACTTATAGTGAAAACTGGTGAGAAGCTAACTTCCTTATGTAAACTATAAAGTGCAAACATAACACTAAGATAAGAATAGTCTCTACAAGCCTAGCCAGGAATCAGTTCCTACAGTACTCACAAAGCAAGTAGGTAAAATATGTAATAAAGGTTCATGGCATGAGAATTGAGTGATTATTAAAGTATGATATGGTCTGATATGAAAGACAATAACATGAAAATGTACCAGTGAGGTTAGTTTGGATAATGGCTGAATATGTGATATAGGGCACTTCAAGCGCAAGAAAGTGCACTAAACACACACACAAGAATGTGATACTTTGAGGTTGGCCTATCCAAAGGAAAGTAGCACACACTTTACACTTAGCATGGAAGAGTTGTGCTTTATGTAGGAAATAATTGGAAAGGTGTTTATTATGAGTTGTGCATCAGACTGCACCTTAAAACACATCATAGATATGGCCTCTATGAGGCTACAAAGATATGAGTCTCTACACCAGATGACCAGAAACAGGGGCTAACTAAAAAGGGATGTACAAAAGAGAAAAGATACAGAAGACAGAAGTTGGTCAGATCTGGAGATCTGAAGATGATTGCATAATCAGTCTAGGTCCAGAATGCAGGATATGATACCAGCCTACTTCTCTCCTAACTTTCACATTTCTGCCTCCCACTTTTGCATCAGCAAGCTCCTGCATCAGTAACCAACAATCTTCATCATTCAGATACAGTGGCTCAAAAAAGTATTTCAAAGTTTGTAACTTTTCATGTAATTGCTTTATTATGAGCCAGGGTGTGGGAATATGACTAAGCTATAGAGAGATGTCATATTGGTATACTTCTCAGTCTCATTTATGTTCCCTATAGCATGGGAAGCTGATGTCATCATGTAACAATATGGCTATTTTAATTTGGTGACTCATTGAGATACTTTTTTGACTTTTAGTTTGATCAATACAATCTCTATAATTATGATACTTTGTGTGACCTCCTATTGCTCTAATTGCTTCTGCCACTCTTCAAGATATGTTATCTATCAATTTTGAATATTTCTTCTTAGTACTCCTTTCTCACTCTGCTGTAGCTCTATCCTATAGCTGAAATAGCCTCTATGATGAATTTTGATAGGCTGCAACCAATTTCTTAAATATTTTCCAGAGACATTCAATAGGTCTAAGGTCCAGGGACTGTACTAGACATGATAGAACACTAATATCATGATCTTTGAGCTGTTTTTGACTAAATTGAAAGTTCATTTCATATGACTAAAGGTCTCACATTCACCATATTCTAACTGGACAGGCTGCTAATGCTACTAAGGCCACCCAATTCATCAATTCTATCATCTCCAGCACTGTTTCCACTCAAACTATTAATAATACTTTCAAGGCAGTAAATATTAAAGTTATAATCAAGAAGAAGAAGATCCTTCATCTCTAGCCTTTAGAAAGAGGAAATGAACTTTAGCTTTAAAGCACCAATATTGGACTGAAAGAGGACTGGAAGAGGATTATCTTTTAAAATAAGACAAAAGTAAATATGATAAGGTCAGATGGCTGGGAATACATCTATAGAAAGATAGTTGAACCACTAAAAAAAAGAAAAACATGTAAACTCTTAAGTGTGGGGTAGCAAACATAGAGGTATAGGGCTGTATGAGATGGAATAGAGTATATATTCTCTGTGTAGTGAAGGACAGAATGAATACAGAGTGGTACATCTCTATTTTAGATAAGAGTCTACTAAGAAGGACATAGGAATTATGGATTGATGAGGAAGATACTATCTTGTAATAAGATAATGATTCTAAGTATATCTTAAAGTTAACCATCAACAACTTGAAGACTATGATATCAATGTTTCATCATGTCTAGTACAGTCCCTGGACCTTAGACCTATTGAATGTCTCTGGAAAATATTTAAGAAATTGGTTGCAGCCCATCAAAATTCATCATAGGGGCTATTTCAGCTATAGGATAGAGCTACAGCAGAGTGAGAAAGGAGTACTAAGAAGAAATGTTCAGAATTGATAAATAACATATCTCGAAGAGTGGCAGAAGCAATTAGAGCAATAGGAGGTCACACAAAGTATCATAATTATAGAGATTGTATTGATCAAACTAAAAGTCAAAAAAGTATCTCAATGAGTCACCAAATTAAAATAGCCATATTGTTACATGATGACATCAGCTTCCCATGCTATAGGGAACATAAATGAGACTGAGAAGTATGGTTTCAAACGGGAAAAACGACAGTCGGGTCACGAACGGTCACGACGTGACGTTCGTGACCGCCATCTCCTCTATCCTCCCCATAACATAACATATCGAGCCGTCAGCTCATAAGGACTCCAGACACTCTAAAGATCTGATCCTCCCTCCGTCCCGAGTCAACCGTTGCTCGCTCGCTTTTGCAGAGCCCTCTCTGGCAGCCCTGGCAACCCAACCGACAAACAACTCGATAGAAGAGAGGACCTCCCAGGCCAAGAGAATTGAAACTGACGCGCCACGCATCACGGAATGGCAAGGGGCGGAAATTGAGGATCGTACTAGGTTAAGTTTGTGTTGTTTCACTCACCGAAGGCATCGGGCTTTGCTAATGGATGTAGTAAAGGACTGTGTGGTCGGTTTGTGTGGATTTTGAGACGGTGGGGAAAGAGGAGCAATGCTCTTGGAGGGTGAGTCCCCACTGTTATATGGTTGCGCGAGTGTGCCGTCAACCCCCCTTCCTTTCTTTCTGCTCCCCCCGAAGTTGGAGCTTCTCTGCAGATCTCGTGAGAGGGCAACGCCTCTCTGATCGGATCCGCTGCGGGAGCCGTCAGGACAATTTGGTGACCAACCGCAACAGTGAGTAATGCTTCGATCTTAGGCTCGCCATGCACCTAACTTCAAATGTGTATTGTCAGGGGTGAACAACTTGCAGAGTGCTGCCGATTGTGATGCGACGACAATCGAGTGCCATTGGGCTGTTCTGGTGAGTCACTTGTTCTCGGAAGACTTAGGCTCACGATGTCACGCAGGTAAGACCGTCTTTTTTCGCCAAAGAAACCTCTGGTGGGCGATCAGAACTGCCTGCAAAGCCCAGGGGGGATGAGGGAAAGCAGAGCTTGCCGGACGCGAAAAAGACGGTCCTCGCGGGCGCTAAGACGTTCACATGTGAGTCATAGGACGGTCCAGCTGTCTTATTCAATTTCACTCTGTTATGTCAAGCGTGAGGCATCTTTCCTACCTCTCGCGCACATGCTGATTGTTTGTATTCACAGAGACCCGCCGAATTGCAAATTGGCTTGGCAACAGAGGGGTCTCAGCACTCTTGGACTCAGACGTCGACCACCAACAATGACAACTGTCGTCGACGCTGTTCAGAGCTTCCCAGGTCTGTGTGGCCTGCTTGTGCCTTCTGCTGTCAGCAGTCCTGAGATGGACGATATCACCAAGGACTTCACTGCCGAACAGGAGACTATTCTCGTTGAACCAGGCGAGAGCAACATGAACGGCATATCCACTACCTCAGAGTCCCGTCACGCAGCTGGCGCCGGCTCGATTGATACAACACTGCAGTCCACCCTGATGGAGGCCTCCAAGGGTGTCACGGAGGGCACCAATGCCGAATATAAGAGGTGCGCGAGCTTCTTTCTGTTGATGGGCAAGGTGGCACTCATCCTCAACAGGCTTATGAACTCGTGTGTGTCCTTTCTCAGAGGCCTCCATCTCTTGGGGCCGAGCGAGGATTTTTTCAGCAAAAAGCCACGGCGTGATACGCCGTGGTTGATTGTGGCATGGATAATGAACATGTGAGTGGCAGGTTCTGCCTGGTACCACCAATTACTGATGACAGCCAACGTGTCGCTGTGGCAGGTGCGACTCAATCAACCTCGATGGCACACCCAAGCTATCTCATGTCGAGCAGGGCACCTATGGCCATGCACAGAAGATGCGGGCGTCCATGATGTACGCGTTTGGGAGGCTCAATGGTCTGGGCAATCTGACATGGCACGAGTCGGATATTGGGGGTGGGCTGATGGTCGGAAACCCTTCCATTTCCATTGAGGTATCATCCTATATGTGCTCGCTCCGCAGGCGCAAGGTAAGGTTTCTTCTCTCTCCGACCCCATGATTATCCTCATCTTCTTCATAGGTGCAAGCGGGCGAGGCTGCAAACAGTGCGCGGGCCATCACCTCAGTGAGTTTTTGGATGCTCCCAGCTCTGAAAAGGACTGATTGGGGACATTGGCAGGAGATATTGCTAAAGCTGTATCATTACAACCACCGCCCTGAAAATTGGACCATCCGTGCCTACCAACCTGGTGAGCGTGTGCGCGGCAGTTCTGGGAATGACCCGAGTCGATGGGGTGGTGGACGTGTACGGCGGCTTCTGTCAGCTGCCTACACTGTAGCATTCATATGCATGCTTCGTTTCGACGAGGTTCTGAAGATCCAGGTGCACGATCTTCGTGTGCATGACACCCAGGTAGCGCTACACCTTCCCTTTCGCAAAACTCATCAAAACGGCGGTACGTACGTGACTCCACCCTCCGCTGCGAACTAATCAGACATTGACCCATGCATGTGCCCACTTGCCTAGACATCAAGCCATTTCACCTCTGGCCCTTTTCGTCGTCCGAGGCACACCTCTGCCCAGTGAGAGCACTCGCTGCCTGGTTGAAGGAATCAAAAATCACGACGGGCTACCTCTTTTGAAAGATTGCTTCGGGCGACCGAATTACAGAGGCCAACAGTCCCATGGTACGTCAATTTTCAGACAGCCTAACTAGGACTCATGCTTGACTCGTCAGTCCTCCGAGCAATTTCTGGAGCTTTTTCGGAACAATCTACTTGATGTCGACATTGACCCTACTCCATACGGCACACATTCATTCCGGAGGGGGGGGTGCCAGTTTTTGCATGTCGAGAAGCGCTGGTCTCTGTGGAGAATCTGTGAGTGGGGAGGGTGGAGCGTGGAATTTACGAACATGACAATCGTGAAGTATCTCATTTCTTCGAATGATGATCCTACTGAGCCAAGGGAGCAATTTCTGAACCCCAATAGACAGCTGATGGTGAAGTGCTCCCAGTGTGGGCGATGCTGTTCTTGTGGCTGAGTTTGAGCTCCGTCTGTACTACATTACTTTTTCTTTCTTTCTTTTTGCCTTGCTTTTTGCCAATGAAAACCTCGTTGAATGTTTCTAGTCCAGGCTGCTGAGGCCCGGTGCTTCTACAGCTTCCGAATCACGATGGAGAATATTCACTCCAAGACCTACTCACTCCATCCTCATTGTCTTTGCTCCGCGTGGGTCTTACATTCTCATCAGCCGCAAAGAGGGTATGTACACCGATTTTGCATCAGCATGTTCCAATTGCACGAAATTAACCAGATGCAGCGCGAGATGTGTCAGTATCTAGAGCGAGGACATGGTCAAGAAGGATTTCGTAGGTCAAGGACCTTACCCAACTTACATTCTTCCCTCATCAGTTCCAATTGCGCGAAATTAACCAGATGGAGCGCGAGATGTGTCAGTATCTGGGAGCGAGGACATGGTCAAGAAGGATTTCGTAGGTCAAGGACCCAAGTTATTCAACATCGACGTCTCCAGCATCAACGGCATCTCCTCCAACGCTCCCAGGTATGGAGGATTGTATGGCTCGCATCGTTTCAGCTTCGTCTTCACCAGGTATCCCAAAACACGAGCCAGTACCAGTACCACCACCATCAAAGCACAAGATGTTCGCGTTCGCTTCACCAGCTGTCTGGTGAAGGCGGCTCATTGAGTGCATTGTGGTTTTTGTTGCATTTTTCTTCCTGCCACTTATACACTCACTTTTGCTCGTCTTGATGACACCACTAACATATACACTTTCATCACTGTCGGTTACCATCGGTCGCGGTGTGCTATTTACCAGGACTTGGAGCGCAGCGGGTTAACATAGATACTACTAGTACTTGTCTCGAAGATTTTGAACATTTACTCCTCCTCCTCTTTGACATCCTCCTCCTCTTTGATGTCCTCCTCCTTTCTTTTCAGTATCGCAACCACAGCCTGTTCCTCTGCAGCATCCCGCATCTCCTCGATGACTTCCATTGCCTCCGCGTAGTCATTCAGTTGCATGTAAATGTTCCGGACAGTATTTTCATGAAATCCATGTTGTTTTGCAAGGGTCTTGACGGATAGCGCGAAGCCAAGCTGGGCAAAGTGTCTGACATCGCTGTCATGTATCTCAGCATCCATCATAAGTTCAGGCTCCGGACTCGCATCACCCTGGCCCATCACTTTAGTGTAATTGTTGTTGACTGGTGCTGACATGGTGGACGCTATGCCGATCCATCAGTATGGTGGTACCCTCATGAAATGAGGCCTACCTTGTGAACGAGTCTGGTGTTCAATGTAGTTATGGTTGATGTGGGAGGTGGCAAGATACACTGAAAGCCCCTTATGTGAATTGTGGCCCCTTTTTTCCTCAATGTTTTCAAACAAATACACACGCAAACAAGGCTTAAGCATGAGCCCTCCGGGCCTCCAAGTCAACAGAAGGTGTAGCATCAGGTGTCATTCACAGGAGAGCTATGGTATTACTGCTAGTTACTGTCCATTGTCAGTCGTCCACCACAAGTCCAGTCGTCAACTCAATGTATTTCCTCGCGATGGCAGACGGCTTCGTCATCACATGCCCCTCTCCTCCTCGCCGGTAAGTGAAAAGGTCGTCGAACTCGGCATGGAATTCTCGGTGAGCACGCTCCACCAATGCGGTATGTTCTGCCTTGCGCTCATCACGGAGTTTCTGGACAATGGCAGTGAATTTCATCCGCTCACCACTGTCAGTCTTGAAGTCAGCCCAGAAGTGATCTGGGGTGCCCTGCCGGTAGCGTTCGACGACATCCTGCACAACCAGGAGGAGGATCAGATCTGTAAGGGAAGCTGTGATAGCGGAGGCACTTACCCGCCAGTCAGTCCACTTGCTTTTCGTGCCCTTCCATTGCTGATTGGGGCCATAGCGGTAGAGCAATGGCCAGTACTTGACAGCGATGGGGTGGCCTTGGATGGTGATGATGGACTCGTTCAACCAGTGCACCGTATTGTCATCCCACATTGCATTGAGACGCAGGATATCATTGGCGAAGCTGACAGCGGGGGGATCTGGGATGTCGTCATCCACCAGTTGGAGAATGGTGCCATCCCCGAGGTTGAGAACATGCAGCTTGTTCGAGCTGCCCGATTCCACCATCGAAGGAGGTTGTTGGCAGGCAGTTGTAGCTGCGCTGATTGCACCCTGTTTGAAACATGCTGCCGAGTCAGTTTAAACAGATTGATTGTGGGGGGAATCACTACTTACCGTGTCTGCTATGTCAGCTGCCTGGGGCCTAACAGACGGCATCAAGCCAGCCGCGCTTGGCTGGAGGGCACCTTGAACGATTTCGATGAGCCTCGTGCCCACGTCCTGGACGATGGCATCCGAAGTAGCGGAAGGGTGCAGTACGCTGGGTGTGCTGTGGCTGGGTGGGTCTGGAGAACTTGCTGGCATCGGCATACCATCCGTCGGCTCATATGGGTACGCGCTGGTGATGGCATCAGCCTGCCCACCAGCATATCAGTTCAGCGGTGTCATATCATCTCTCACGAAGGCACTCACCCAAGGTAGCAGCGCCCTGATTTCTGGTGCCGTTCGCGTGTCCTTGGACCGATTGACGCTGGTGCCCGAAGTGCTTGGTGCAACTGTCACACCAAGCAACTGCTCGCGACGCTGCGCGGATTGCTTGGGGCGGCTGGCCTTGGGCTTGCTCATCGAGCACATGCGTGGGCCTTTGTGAGGTTTGTGAGCCCCCGGCCGGAGCCTTTGAAAGGGAAATAGCAGGTGAGCGTGACTAGGGTTATGTTTGGGAAGATTCACATACCTATCCCACAAATCTCGGTCTCCACTGAAAACTTCCAGCCGCTCGCGAAGGACAGACTTGGTGCCAGTGGAAGGGAGCCCAAGCTCGTGGCACAGTTTCTTCAGTGCTTTGACAGTCATGTTGGAGCTTACCATGGGCGGCATTCATCCGAGTCAGCCATGAGGGAAGAAGGCGAAAGAGACGAGCGACTCACATGGAGATGTACTGGACCTCGGGCTCTCCGTCTGGTCGAAATCGGAGTGGGAAAGGGAGGGCCTGGTCTGCATTAGGTGAGTCCTGGACTCCTCGGCCTCCGCTGTGCGTGTCAGCAGACTCGACGTGCTCGACTTCGCCAGCATCGGCGCTCCAGAACGAGTCACGGTCAGCAACAGAGCCATCCGTGGCAGCAGTAACGAGGTGAGTGGAGAGAGTGGCAGTGGCAGCATGACCGAGCGAGGTCATCCTGACGATGTTGGCGCAGTCGTTTGACCTGCACCGTCGGCGGCGGGGGACCGGAAGACAGCCACAAAAAGAATCGATGGGGATGGTCGGCCTCCACCAGTGATAGGTGACCAAGAGGAAGAGGAATGAGAGGAATATGGCGGCAAGGGCTAGGGCTCCGCCCACGTGCAGGCTGCCTCCTGGGTTGGCAGAGGGGCTCGTAGACGAGGACGAGGACGACTCGTTCGGCAAGGCAGACAAGAGTCCACGCGCGACAGCGAGAGGGATTGGAGGGATTGAGATCTGCGGGGGGAAAAGAAGCACAGGTGCAGATCAGCTTGATTGCGCAGGACGGGGATCAGGGGACGGGACGAGAAAACGGCGGTTCCGGGGGTCTGTGCCATTGCGATCGAAGCAAGAAAGCAAGAAAGACGTTCCAATGCTCACGTCATCGACGAAACGGCATTCGCCGAAGCGTCACGCCCGCATGCGGACGGTGTTGTTTTCGAGAGAAGTATACCAATATGACATCTCTCTATAGCTTAGTCATATTCCCACACCCTGGCTCATAATAAAGCAATTACATGAAAAGTTACAAACTTTGAAACACTTTTTTGAGCCACTATATAACAGTAAATCTAAATACATGCTAGAGCACCCTCTGAGCACACTAAACATATCTTTAGACTACAAAACTCTGATATGATACTCCAACAGGTAGAATACACATATGTGTGTAGAGCACATGCAGCCCTTGCAAGTCAGTGGTATATTGAGTGGGGGGTATGTGCTAAGTAAGTTCAGGTTAGCATAGTCAGCATTTGGTATATAGGTAGTGCACTATCTGTGATATAATAACTTGGTCCCAGTGAGCTCAGGCCCCAAGGCTCTTGACAGAACTCAATTTAGTTCTGTAGTATGATGGCCAGAATGTATCTGTGATCTTACTCTTTAGGCTTGGTCATCTCTACAGCTCACACTACTAGTCTCTTTCATTGTCTTTCTACTCCTCATGAATGATGACTAGTATTCTTCACAGGTAACCCAGAGGTATTTCCAACTATACCCCTACCTGTACCCACAAAAATCCATACCTGTGCCAAGGGTATGAGTTCTTTCATGGGTCAGTGTTGGAGTCCAAGAATCTGAGAGTATCAGAAGATGAAGGAACAGGTACAAGCACAGAGTAATGTCAGCCAAGCCTCATCCCAAATGTTTTGTTTCAAACTAATATTTTCTTTCCTACTCTATCCATACAATAAAGTCTGCAGTACCTACGTCAAAACATCTCAGTCCTTTACCTCAAGACTGAGATGTGAGTGCACCTATACCATTGTTTTACATTATGAGCTAACAAGTCCATTTAGATTAAATTCTGTCTAGGTACATACATGAGTCCTCTACCTCAAGACTGAGATATTAAATTCTATCTAGCTCTGTCTAATGTCTGCCCAAAAGCTCTCATCACTAAAGTCAGTACTTCAAACTCTTAGGTAGACCCATTCCCGCACCTACAACAGGTTACCCATGGGTATACAATGACAGTGCAAAAATCATGGCTGCTACTAGTACAGTGAACAAAAAGCTACTCTATGGCATCCCACTCATCTTTGAGTCCCTCATCATCACCTACTAGTGATGGCCAGGTCCGGTCCTGAATCACGGTTCAAACCCGAACCGTTTCAAACCTGACCAAAGTCTGGTTCAAAGTTTGGGCAATAGGGAGAACCAAACCATCGGTCCGGTCCACGGTTCGAGGACTTGCAGAATTCTCAAACCAATTGTCAAGTAATAAGGGATGGTATGAAAATTTCAATCTCCAGACTTACATGGGCCAGCCGCAGTGTGGCTACGCTCGTGACACACTGTGTGATGCAGCTTATGTGATGTGGGAAAGTGGGAATTTAGAAACCTCGACAGAAAGCACACCAATGACTTCAAATTTGTGTGACGGTCACACCAAATAGCTTCGATTCATTGGATGTGTGAATCTCTACAGTATGCCATTTGGTGAAGAGTGCAACGATTGATGAAGATCGGGTTTAGGGTATGTTTGATTATGTTAGTTCTGTCGTTAGGACTCACCCAGCTACCTCCAGTCTGCACAAGGTACATTTGCAGTGTGCGCATGTAGAGTCGACTCTGGATGGGGATGAAGTAGACTTTTGAGTGGGGATCTCTTTCTCTCAGTTGCAAAGGCACGTGTATTGTATGTTTTTATGCTACTTCATCATGCTAACTGATTATTTTTATTAACTTATGATTACTCTTGTGCATACCACCACTCATGCCCTCTCATTCTTGCCGTCTCATCCCTCTTTCCACTCCTTCCACTGTTCTGGCATGTTCCAGTGTCCTCCACATATGTTCAAGCCACATTAGCATTTGCTGACATATGCCCTCTCCATCCTCGCCACCCAGCTACCTTCATCCTCATCATCCAAGCAAAACCATCAATGACAACATATCACCACAGATGGTGGCTCAAACAGCCACCTTCTCGCCCATCTCATCACTCACAAGTCACAATGATGAAGTCTGCGAATGGTAGGATATGATATTGGAGGTTCAGGTATGTGGCTCATCACACACTGTTATCATCTTATTGTTTTATCTACTCATAAATCATTAAGTCATTTGCCTACCTGTTTGCATGCTCAGGCCACAGCTTAGGCCAGGCCAAGCCAGGGCCATCACTAGCTACAGGATATGCATTCGTACCACCACACGACACCCTGGCACCAGAAGTTGGGGCAACAGCTGTCGAGGATCGGCTCCAGGACGGCATACCAGGTACAATACACAAGTTACAAATGGCCACGATAAAGGTGCGTTTGTCACAGACATTTCATGATGGTGTCTACATTTACGATGCTAATGTGGTATGTAGATCTGGGGTGCACGAAATCAATTCACACCCTCTGAAGCCCTTCCTTTGCAGACAGCAATTTTTTGGGTCTGGTTCTTGGTTCGAACCCTTGCTGAACCAGAACTAGACCATTATTGGACTGAACTGATGGTCTGGTCCACGGTTCTGCTCACTGAGAGAACTGAACTGATGGTCCGGTCCATGGTTCTCTGGATTTCCTAGAGAACCAGACTGAACCAGACCTGTCCATCACTATCACCTACAGCCTCAGGTAGTACATTAATAGCTGTAATGTCCTTAGCCTTTACAAAGCCAAGTGAACTCCAGTTTCCAAGATGAATGAGAGCACATTCTGTGTGTTCTGGAGGCATGCAGATTGTCAAGAGGAGGTTCTGTTGACAAGTTGTCTGTAATTTAATCAATGGCATTGTAGTAGGCTATTAGCAACCAATGCCATAATTATTTAAAAAAATATGATTCTGAATGTATTACACTGCTGACAATATAAGAGTCTTGTATTGATTGACCATAATGTCATGTATACCTATGTATTGTCACCGCATATATGTGGCTGAACCTGGAGTAGCCTTTGACTGGGCAGCTAGCTGTATGGGTGGTGCATTCCCAAGAAACTGGCATTAATGCATCCCTTTCAAACACTCAGACAGCTGGTGTACTCCGGATTTCTGTCGAAGGAATAATACTTACTATCATCTCTTCTAAACCAAAGTTATATAACCATGGGTATCAATCATACAAAATATTTTACTGTGCATTATTGATGCTGGGCGCGAAACCCACCCGCGCCCCGTGCGAGTAGTCAAATACCGAGTACCCTAGACAATCAGTCACGAACGTTCCAGGTTAAAATGCCATGCGATAAGGCACTACTCACATGATCTCATAAATGCATGCCCTGCAGCACGCGACTCATCAGCAAAACATCCAAGAAAACGAGCCGAATACCCAAATAACTCACCAATAATGACAATTCCTTCCATGAATGCATCGTCCAGGCCAATGATCCCACCAATGCAGTTTCTGCGCTGGTTCAGGCGACGTACATTACATGACGATACGCTGACTTACGTTGACCCATACCCATCTTGTCCGAGCTTAAAGTCCTGGATATTGATTCCGAAGTCGTGCCCACCAAGCGAGAATGAAATCGTGGGGTTGGAGTCGCACGGGAAGGAGAAGAAGCCGGAGCTGTAGTTCGCTGCGGGCCCAGCCCCGAGTATCTACGACTTATCAGCAAGGTGGCGAGGGAAGCAAATAGCGAGAGACTGACATTGGCGTAGATCAGATTTGCCAATGTCTGTGAAACGTATATAAAACTAGAACCTGTGTCAATCACCTGTTCATATGAAATGAGGTGAGCCTGAGTGAATTCCCGGCTGATGAGTTGAACCTTACCGCATCGACGTTACCAGAGACGTAGTTCCCTTCGACAACAGCTCCGTCGAAATGCACTGTCCAGTATGTCTGCCAATAAAAACCAGTTAGACAGGGTGATTCAAGGCGCGGGAAGATCAACCTTGGAAATAACTGAGACCCATGTCAGAGGTCCTACCGCCTTGGACATGTCGTAACCACCCAGAGTTATCTAAAAAAATTCTTCTCGATTACGGTTATATGAACGATAGTACGCCACGTACCTTCGACCCGCTTGCCTTTCCTCTCGTTAAATGCACAGAGAAGAATGGTGCTTCGATCTTTTCCTGCATGATTAGGTTCTCGAAGAACGTTGGCTTCCCTGACGTTGCGATGGAGCTGAAACCGAGCCCGAGACACCCAGAGATCCGGTCGGAATCGAAGTTACTCGACACA